GTGCACTGTGTCTTTCCATCTGTTTTTCAGATGCATTTGTGCCCAGGTTTTGGGAACCCTCAGCATCAACTGCTTTGACAGGTTCCCATAATCCTACCTACTAGAAACCAGTTTGGGATGGATATGATGGGGCTTCTGTGCTTTTGCTGGGATTGGGAGAAATAAACATGCAATTTAAGTGGAAGCAAAAAAATTTAAAGAAAATTTTCTTGTTCTCTTGCTTGGGTCTGTCCTTGGTAAAAGGGAGGTGGTTGTGTTTTCCTTGTGTTGGATGGCATGAGATTATGTAATTGTTTTGATTTTAATAAAATGAACTGCAAGGTTTTTCATTGGAAGGACAGGCAAGACATGTATGACTGCATGTAATTACAAACCCCTGACCTCCTGGTGGGGTTAGAGCATCTGTTTCACGTATGGGACTTACAAGCACCTCTCATAAGAGAAGTTATGGGAGGGGGAGGGAAGGGCAGGGCAGGGTGGGAGGGATGGGACACAGCTTCTGGCACCAAGGATTAACCATGTTAGATCCAAAAGTAGGCCCGAAACCCTGGAGCTAATGCTTCCCAGCCGGGCTATAAGTTGAACTTGAACCCAGCCGATAGGCCAAGGTCATGGTGTGCCCATGATGGTAACAGTGAACAAATGTGTAAGATGTGCCCGGCAATAGCAATGAAAAAGAATACCAAATGGACTTTGAAGGACCAAAGGTTTAAAAAGTCACATGGTATTACCCCCACACTAAGATAGTGGGTGCATTTGGTTTTCAAATTGGGTACTTTTAACACATAGTGCCTGACTGCTGTTCTTCACTGACTTTTGACTCAGTCACTCTAGCTTTATTGGTCTGAACCAGCTCCTTGTTCCCAGGTTACAGACCTATTTATCGTTCCAATAATCCTGTTTCACTTGAATGAAGGGAGTATGTCTTAAAATGTAGTTTCTGGTTCTCACACTGTACTCTGTGGTCCAAATGACTGTCGATGTGTAACCTGATGTCTCAAACCCCAGTGAGAAGAGTCAATCCTTTGGTGTTCACCGATGCAGGAGGCTTCACCAGAACAGGCTTCTGCTTTGGGCTCTGCTATTTGTTTGCAGAAAACCCAAGAGCGAGCACACATGCTCTCTTCACAGCAGTACCTTAGGGTTTTGCCATTGTAAATGGGTCTAAATGTGATATGACAAGACCAGAGAAATTTGATGTAAATTTACAGTTTTGAATACGCTTGTTGTTTCACATGATAAACATTTAGGGTATGCAGCTCCTTTTGTAGTTTTTATTTTTACTATTTAAGTTTGGAAATGATGCCAAATTTTTGTATTTCTTTAATCAATGTGTTCTCTTCGGTGATATATATTGCATTATATATTGATGGGTATCAATATATATTGATATGTATTACACTTACACATACAAACACATAAATAAGAGGGGGTGAAAACCGTAGCCTTTGCATTCTCTATAGCCTCTACAGAGAGATCCTAAGCAGCGATATCTTGGTGTTGTGATGTACAGAAATGGAGAAGAGTATTAAACCATATTTAAGAATATACTTTGTGTGCTTGAGATTCTTTAGGACGGTGCCTAGAAAGATCCGCGCTGTGAGACATGAGGGCTTAGTGGTGTTAAATGGCCCTGGGTTGATCAGCAGCCTCCTGTACAGCAGAACAAAACAACAGCTGAATCACCTGGTCCTGTGCCTTCCCCACATCCAGGCCCACTGTTGCTGCCATTCGTGTCATGGAGGGTCTCCCTCCCTCTCACTGTTCAGTCGTGACTGGTCACTTAGGAGCTCTGGTGGTAAAGAATGCGCCTTGTTGAGGCTAACGTAAAGGCCTCACATCTCCCGCGGTTTGACTCCACCCGTCTCCATTAAGATTTATAGCCTCAGAAACCTGATGAAGGGTCACTGAGACTTGACCCAATGGCAGTGAGTTTTGTTGAGAGAATAACTTGAGCCTTGGGGACTATTTTCACTACATACAAGTATGGGTGGGTATAGTAATAGAGAGCTCTGGTGGCCTAGTGGCAGGAAGTACTGCAATCCCAAAGGCATGTGGTTTGAATCCACCAGCTGCTCTGTGGGAGAAAGATGGGTGTGTCTGTCATGATCCCAAGGTTATATGAGGGGCAGGTTTTCAAAGCTGCGGATGGCCATCTAATTGAAATGATCCCAAATGCACCTTAAAAGCTTGCTTTAAGACCTTTCAAATTTGTTATTCCAGGGAATTTTCAACAATCCTTATTTACAAGTACTAAAATGGACCAAAATGGGTCTTGTCACAGCTCTTAAGTGACAAAGCCAAAATTTTATCCCTGCTCTAATTTAAAATTTTCTTTTATACCCAGTTGTCTTAAGGGTGGTCCAGGTGAAAGATCCTCTGGTAATGATACCATTGTCCTTAGTGCTAGCCATGAGCAAAAGAGGAGGTGGCACTGGGATCCCAAAGCAGGTGCTAGGAACCACCCTGCGTTTAGTTTAGGAACGCTTGGTGAACCAAAATTCTACGTGGCTTCTTCCACACTTGAGAAAACTTGGGAAATTAGCTGGTATCATCAGTTGTCACTACTTTCCATATTTTTGTTACTTTTCTCATTTAGAAGTTAGTCTGGTGAAACCTAATCACCTGGTACGTGCCTGTGTATGGCAGGGACAGTTTTTTCCCTGCTAACACATCCCTCGCCCCTGTTCTTGAAGTCAGAAGTTGGAAGGCAGGAAAGCAGTGCCGGATGTGAGCTGTGGTGCTGGCCCGTCCAGGCCTGCCGCCCTTGCCCTCTTTGTTTTCTGGCTCTAGTTCCCATGCCATGATGCTCCCAAACATCCACAGTGGATTTCAGGGCTGAGTGCCAAGGCAAAACTTAAGATCCGTGCCAGCTTCTCTCTTGGTGCCAGTATGAATGAATGCCAGCTGGACTCCCACCTGCCAAGTCCCCACCCTGATGAAGACTTCACTACAGGGATGCAGGAGCTCACTAGCCAAGCAGTATGGAATTGTCACACTAGAACCAGTGAGAGTAGGACCCAGTTACTATTTGTCTAGCACTGAGGACCTGTTTGAACAGCAGACCATGTACTAAGGTACCTTGCCCGGAGTTTTCCTCTGAAAATCCTGTGTAACCTCTGAGCTGCCATTTCCATACCTGTGATAATACCTCGGAGGCCTGCTGGCCCTGCAGGTTACGTGTTTTAACAAAAAACAGCAATTCGAATCCACCAGCCGTTCCATGGGGGAGAGACGAAACACGTACAGTTGCTTTGCTTTCTGCTGACAGTGTGCAAGAAGGTTGGGCTTCACCATGTTTTTCTGGAGACCCTTTACCCCCTTCCCCTTTTCTCTTTAACTGTTTTGCACAGCTTACACTTTTATTATTTTACTAGCTATGACTCTTGTTTTATTGCTTTAATAACCCTATTTCACTTGTTTTGCTTAAAAAAACCCAAACCCACACCTGTGCAGCCTCAGAAGCAGTTCTGTGTACTGTACAGTCAAGAGTCAAACTGACTGAAGGTGAAAGGGTAATGTCTGCTAAGTAAAGAGTCGATGTAATAATGAGGCTTGTGAAGTGCATAGTGTGGTGGCCCGGAGTTGCCCAGGCCTCAGATGAGCACTGCTCTGACCTCTGCACTACCAGCCTCTCTGGAGGCAGCCAGGGTGCACTTGCTCTGGTGACCACCAGGTGGTGCCAAAGTGAAGGATAATGGCCATCAAGGAGCTTCTCCCCAGTTATCACTCAGTTTTCTGGCAAGTAGATGTCTGAACAACTTGCTCTGCCCTTAAAATGTGAAGAAGTAGAAAGTAAACTACCAAAGGAAGAACAGACGCGTGAACAAAAGCAAGTTCTGGTTCTGCCTCATTTCCTTACCACTAAGTCTGGGCTTGGAGGTTTTTAGTTATTTTATAGCCCATCTATCTAGAAAACAACCGAAACCCAAGCTTGTTGCCATCAACTTGATTATGACTCGTGACCCATGTGTTGGCTCTAATCTTTACACAAGCAGGTTGCCAGGCCTTTTCCTTGGCACTGCTGGGTGGATCTGAGCCATCAACCTTTAAGAGCCAAGTGCAAACTGCCACTCTGGAATCTAAGTACACTGGTTAAATGTTGAAAAAAACTTTTTTTTTTTTACTTTATAGCACTTTTTTCCTCCTGTTAAATTTTTCTTTCCTATTGTTTTGCTTGCAAAGTTCATATACATTGTATTCCATACAATCATTCCAATTCAATATGTTTTATAAAATTACTCACCATTGAACTATACCGTCAGTTACCCTGTCTTTCCAAGTGCTCAACTTCTAATAAGAGGGTTTAACCCACAGTCACTCTGGGAGAAATGCGACAATCAGCTTCTATAAAGACTAACAGCCTTAGAAACCTTTTGGGTGGGGAGCTCTGGTGGCCTAGTGGCAAGAAGCTGCACTGCAATCCCAGATGTACCTGGTTTGAATCCACCAGATGCTCTGCCGGAGAAGGAGGAGCAATCTCCTCCTGTACCAGTCAGATCTGATTTGACGGTACACACACACAAAATAATAATAAAAAAAAAGAAACCTTTTGGGTCAGTTTTACACTAAAGAGTCACCATGAGTCAAAAACCTAGATTTCAGTCTTAGAAAACATTTATTGAACAGTTAGTATGGACGTGTTGCTGAGTTAAATCTATAGAAAAGCCATGATAGGTACTGCCAAAGCAGCAAAACCAGAGACTCAAAATCAAATTTGTCTAGTCTTAAATGCTAATGCAAAGGTAGAGAACTGTGGGAGCCCAAAAGAAAGAACACTCTTAACCCAAAAGCATAACCACTGTTGTGCTTTCAAAAAAATCCCAAATCTTAGACTGAATCTGGAAAGCACATAAAAAGCACTGTAAAAAACATGTTCTTCACAAACATGCACGCGCACACATTTTGATTGGTTGGCTCAGCTCGGTGAGCGGTGCAGCCACTGGAAGTCTGTACCCAAACCCACTGTGGGCACCCACTGCGAGTCAAGTGTTGCAGGATTTCTTTGTGTGTAAATCTTCGCAGCACACCACCTCAGCGTTCTCCCACAGAGGTAATGCTGGAGTCAAACTGCGGACCTTTCCTTCAGCACCTAACATGTAATCCACATCACCAGGGCTCCTTGGGAGTTTGTAGAGAACCCTTAATTTATCTAACATCAACAGAAAATTGTACTTAATTTCCAGATAGTGAAAACTGCCAGACATCTTAAAAATATTTGTCTATTAAAAAAATTGTTGGCAACACAATTGAAATCAAAATATAGGCTATAAGTAGCTAGCTAGATATTGTATCAATGTAAAATTTCCTGTTTGGATAACTATAATTGGGTATGTAAGAGAATATTCTTCTTAGGAAATAGACATTGAGGTATCAAGGGATTAAAACTATGGGAGTTTTACTAAGGAAATTCTATGAAATTGCAGAACTATAGGCCACAAAATATCCTTATAAGTATGAAATATCATTTTCCCCCTCCAATTTTATTCTCTGTTATTGTTGTTACATGCTGTTGAGTTGGAATTGATTCATAGCTGACCCTCCAGTGGGTTTTCAGAGGCTATAAATGGCATGGGATGGAGCTTGACCATCTTTTTCCCTTGAAATAGCTGCTTTATTCAAACCACAAACCTATGGGTCAGCAGAGCAATTCCTTACCATTAGGCCACATGTGTGTGTATTTGTATAAGTTCTGCATGCTCTGGAATTCCCATTCTTCTCAACATCAGCCACAACTTGTCATGATCCACACAGTCAAATGCCTTTGCACAGTCAATAAAGCACAAATAGACATTCTTCCGGTATTCCTTACATTCAGCTAGAATCCATCAGTAATTATATCAGTAATTATATCCCTGGTGCCACAGCCTCTTCTAAATCCTGCTTGAACTTCTGGCAGTTCCCATCTATGTACTATTCCAGCTGGTTTTGAAAGGTCTTCAGCAATATTTTGCTTTCATGTGTTATCAATGATATTGTTTGATGGTTTTCACATTCAGTTAGATCACCTTTCTTGGGAATGGGAACAAATATAGGCCTCTTCCAATCAGTTTGTCAGACAGCAGTCCTCCAAATTTCCTGGCAGACTGGTAAGTGCATCCAAGGCTGCTTCCGTAAATTGGAACAAGTCAATAGGTATCACATCTATTCCTGGGGCTTTATTTTTTGCCAATGGCTTCAATGCAGCTTCTACTTCCTCCTTCGTTACCATTGGCTCCTGTTTATACTGTACTTCCTTAAATTTTTCAGTGTTAACCAATTCAGTTTGTTTCTGTTGTGTGAACGGAGAAGGGGAGCACTGCATGGTTTGGAATTGGGAAGGGAGTGTGCCAGGGTTGTATTCTCCATAACTATTCAATCTGTATGCTAAGCAAATTATCTGAAAAGCTGGGCTCTATGAAGAGGTGTGTATCATCAGGATTGGAGGGAGACTCATCAATAATCTACTTTAGATGACACAACCTTGCTTGCTGAAAGTGAAGAGGGCTTGAAGCACTTGTTGCAGAATATCAAGGAATACAGCCTTCCTTCGGTATGGATTGCATCTCAGTGTCAGGAAAACAAAGATTCTTACCACTGAACTGATAGGAAGTGTCATGATGGAGAGGAGATTGAAACTGTCAAGAGCTTCATCTTATTTGGATCCACAATTAACACCATTGGTACCAGCAGCCAGGAAATTAGAAGATGCACTGCACTGGGAAAATCTGCCGTTAGGGACCTTTCCTAATTATTGAAGAGTAATGATATCAGTTTGAGGACTAAGGTGCGTCTGATTCAGGCAATAGTCTTTCCAATCACTCGCTGTCCATCTGAGAGCTGGACAATGAGTAAGGATAACAGAACAAGAATTGATGCTTTTGAGCTGTGGTGTTGGAGAAGGGCACTGAACATCCCATGGACAGCCAAAAGAACAAACAAAAATGTCTTAGAATGCAGCTGGAGTGCTCTTTGGATGCAAGAATGATGAGGTTTTGCTTCACATACTTTGGACATGTTGCTAGGAGGTGCTATTCCTTAGAGAAGGACATGATGCTGGGAAGGGTGGAGGGTCAGCAAAGGAGAGAAAGACCATCAACCAGGTGGACTGACACGGTGACTGCTGCAATGGGCTCTTGTGTGTCAGGAAGTGTGAGGATGGCACAGGATAGAACAGGGTTCAGATCTTTTGTTCTTAGGGTTGCTATGAGTCATACTCACTTGACAGAACCTAACAACAACAATATATAGTTATGTACCATTGAGATGGCCCATCTTTCTCCCACAGAGCAACCAATGGATTCAAACCACATAATTCCTTATCACTAGACCACCAGAGTTAAATAAGTACACATGTATACCATTTATGATCTTTTTAGGGAGCTCTGGTGTCCCAGTGGCAAGAAGCTGCGCTGCAATCCCAAAGGCACATGGCTCAAGCCCCCAGCTGCTCCACAATGGGCTATCAGTCTCCTCCTGTGCAAGTTATTGCCTCTGAAACCCCCCAGAGGATCACTTATGAGTCAGTTCCATCCCTAAGGTACACAACAACAACAATGATCTTTTTTTTACACAGATACCACTTAGGATCTTTTTTCTTTCTCTAAACTTATAATTTGCCATGTTGTTTAAAAATTCTTAAGCATAAATAGTAAAGATAGCATTTGAGTTTTCAGTGGTTCACAAAGGGATTTACAACAAAACTTTCATTTGACTCTTCATTTTTTTATTTTAGATTTGACTTGGAGATCTAGATTTAAGAGTTCTTTCCGCTGCAGGAGGAATCTCTGCTGAGTCACCCAGTGGGATTGGACTGGAGTCTTAGAGGTGGAGTTGGTAGGGTCCTCGGTGGTAGGAAGAGAGCAGACACAGGTCCAGGAGAACTCGAGTGCTCAGCTTCACAGGCAGGTTTAGTGAGGCGCTGGGCGAGATGAGGCAGCAAGAACAGAGCTTCCTGGAAGGCACTGACCCTCAGCCTCAGAGGAAAACAAAGAAGATAGAGC